AGCTTCGGGTAGTTGTCGATCGCCGTCTGCATCGTATAGTTATTCAGCTCGTGCGTCAGTATGATCGCGCCGACCTGCGCGCGTCGTCTATTAATCACCCTGCATGAAGAGGAGGAGGAAAGGACACACGGAGTCAAAGGCGCCCGAGGTGGCATTCGATATGAGCGCGTCGTAGTTCGCCTGCACGGTCGCCGCCGTGACGCCGGCCTCGCCCATCTTCCAGTCGTTCGAGTCGTACTTCCAGATAATCGTCTCGAGCCCGAGCTGCGATGCGATGTAGCGGATGCGGTCGTCGACGTCGCCGAAGGGGGGCTACACACGGAGAGTCAGCATGCGAGTATGAGACATGAAGGGAAGGAGGGGAGGGGAAGGAGCGAGGAGTCTGCAGCGCTGAGGACGTGGCGCTGCCCTCTGTCGCACCCTGCGCATCCGGAGGAACAGGATCTTCGCGCTCGATAAGAGATGTAGCGTCAAGCCGCACGGCGTACACTACCACACCCTCCGCCGTCCGGCCAGGCAGGTATCCGCCCGGGGTATCCTGGCTCCCCAGACGCGCGCCCTTGCCTGTTGCCCATCGGCCACCGCGAGCACCACCACGCCTTCCTTGCACATCCGCATCGGCCACCTGTGCACCGCGACGTCCTCATGTGCATCCTTGCACACCCCACATATCCCCCCCTCTTCCCACCCTATCCTCCCCCCCCAAAAAAAAAGATCAAGGAGAAGGAAGAACACGACTCACCCGCCAACACGTCGGCGTCACCCCCGTGACGAGCTTGATCGCCTCCATCGTGTACCACAGCTCGCCGAACGCGCCCTCGTTCGTGAACGCCGTCATGTACCGGTGCGACCAGGAGTCTGTATGTAATGGAAGGGTGGGTTAGCGTTGGGTGTTCTCAAAGTGGGAGGAGAGGAGGAAGGGGTTGAGGAAGGGGGGAAGGGAAGAGGAGAGCAAGGGGGAGGATGGGGGAGGGAGAAGAAAAGAGCTGGAGCGCGCAAGTCACGCAGACGAGGACTGCGCCGGGCCCCATGAGCGTCGCCACTGTCAGATGCACGCGCATTAAGCAGCATGTCGCTCGATGGAGTGATCGCGCCCGACGAAGACCATCCGCAAGCGCAGAGGCGGCACAAGCTCGAAAGCCCTCCTCCGCCGCCGCCGACAGTCCGCCCCACCCCCCGCCGACCAGACCACGACCGCGCACAACGACGCCGAGCACCATCTCCGGCCGCTTAAATGTACACCGCCAGTACCTCGCCCCCCACGTCCAAAGAAGTCGCGGGTCTCCAAGCAGCGCGTGCCCTGCCCATCGAACAGCACGCCTTCCGTCCCCCAGGGCTGGCGCGCATCCCCGTCCCAGTGGGCACGTTTCAGGCGGCGCCGTACCAGTACCTCGCCGTCGGCACCCAAACGCACCTCGCCCCGAGGACGCGGATAGAGCATGCACCCGCCGAGCACGATGCTGCCGGCCAGTCCCCCGCGCGACGCCGTCGTCCCCACACCGCGCCTGTGTCGCCGCCTCCCCACCCACCACGTCGACGTCGACGCAGAGTGCCCGCCTCGACTCCCGCCGACCCGGCGACCCCCACCAAACGCCCGCCGCCTCGTCTCAAGCAAGACGGCCGAGGCCACTTTCTCATCGACCGCCCCGCCGAGGAGATGGGAGATGGGGGTCCAGATTCCAGAATGACAAGAGTCGAAGTCGAAAGCGCGAAGCAAGTCGAAAGACAAGAATAAAGCAAGACGCCACTCACGCACGCACACCTCGTGCCCGTCCGCGATCGCGCGCTGCGCCTCGAGCGGCCAGTCCATCACGTTCGAGCCGATGAAGAACATCGCTGTGGAAATTTGGTTAGCGGGGGTCTGGGATGGGGACGCAAGAACAAGGAGGTGGGGAGGGGAGGGAAGAGCGCGAGGAAGGGATGGAAGAATGGACGGAGAGCGGCGAGCAGGGAGGGGAAGCGCGAGACGCCGCGGAAGGGCGCTTTCGAGCCGGGCGGGCGGGGAAGAATGTCCAGTGGCGGGGAGTAACATAGGAACGGGAGGAACGAGAGTCATGGAAGAAACCCTGGACCGCGGAGAGCGGCGAGCAGGGAGGGGAGAGCGAGAACGGAAGGACGGGACGCGCGCGCCGAGGCGAGGAAAGGAACGGTAGACGAAGCGCAAGGGGACGAGGGGAACGCAAGAAGGGATGGGCGCGGAACCGAAAAGAATAGAATGGAATCATTCGATTCGCGAAGCGGCGGGGAAGGAGGAGCGTGGTAATGGGAAGGGGAGAGCACTAGTGGCGGGGAGATGGAAGGAAGGGGAAGGGGCGAGCACCGCAGTCGCGCAGAGGGAAGGTAAAGAGAAGACAGGGGATGACGGAAGCGCAGGAAGCGTAGAAGGGCAGAGAAAGACGATGGCGGACGTGGAGGAGCCGAGGAAGGAAGGAAGGAAGGGAGGAAGGAAAGAGGGGAGAGGGGGGACGAGAGACGAAGGATACGATGCAGCGCGCAGTAGAAGACGGGGCGACAGACGGACGTGTGAAGGGGAGGGGGAGCGGACGAGGAGGGCAGGACGGGGGGAGCCCGTCGACAATACGAGCGAAGAGCGCGTCGACAATACGGGAGGGAGCGAAGAGATGAATAGCCGGGGCGGGGACGCAAGAAAAAAAAAATCGAAGCCCGACACGCACTAGCCTTCTGCGCCTTCTCCGTCAGGTAGTCGTAGAACGCGTTGTGCGAGCAGTTCGGCCCGTCGTCGAAGCCGTAGCCGAGGGTGCGGGGCTGTCGTGTGAGTAAGGGTTAGCGATGCGTCAAGGAGCAGGAGGAGAGGGAAGGAGGGGAGGAGGAGCCGCTCTGAGAACAGTAGGACGCGATACGACACGAAGTACACCCTGATCGACGCGCAGAGACACGGAGCAGGCGCAGAGAGAAGCGGGGGGTCTACGCGCTGCGATACGATAAGCCGATCCGGAGGACCGCAGGGGGCGAGACGCCTTGCTGCGGAGACCCCGCGCTACGGATAGGCAGGGCCCCGAGCGCTCCACGCGCGAGGTCTACGTGGAAGTGCAGGAATGTCTGCACGCGAGACGAAGCACGTAGGGAGGGGGACTGCGTATACAGCACGCGGGCCGCCCCCAACCCCGTTGCGGTACACTCTCGCTCACGCGCGTGGGGAAGCGTACCCGCCCCCGCTGTCACCGTGCGCAGGCGCAAAAAAAAAGAGGGCGCCCGGGTGGAACCGTGTATATGCGGACACGGCAACAAACAGAGAGCATTCCACGACCAGATGAGTGGGCGCGTTGGCACGGTCCGAGGGCGTAATGGCGCCGCGTGGACGTCTTGACGGCGGTGCAGAGAGTACACGGAAAGACGTCGAGACGCAGAAAAGCGGGCGCTGCGCGCTCGTTTCTTTGCGACCCCTCGACACGCGAAACGAAGGTGCGCATGCCCATCCGCATGCCACCCAAGAACAAGAAAATAACAAGAAACAAAGGTGAGACGAACGCACCTCCGGCACGCTCGCAATATCCGCATCGAGGCCGCTCAGCTTGGGCGTAACGCACTTGTCGTACGTCCACCAGCAGTCCGGGTCCGAGGCGCTGTACGTCGGCGTGAAGCTGGAGAAGTCGCCCGCGAGGGTGCCCTGCGCCGCACCCGCCTTAGCTTTACACGTTCCACGGTACAGCAGAGAGACGCACCTTTGGCGCGATATTCGGGATGCTCGAGTTCATGGCGAGGAACTTGGCGCGGCCGGTGGTGTCATTGGTCGGCACGCTGGTGACGGGCTGCCAGATCGTCGGGAAGTTTGCTTTGGCCGCGGTGACCGGCGCGTAGCTGTACGCCGTGCACTCTACCGCTGGGTCTGCATCGTGCCACCGTGACTTCAGTAGCTGGCTCTTCCGCTGAAAAGGGGGACACAGGACACACCGCTGACGGCCGCCTCGCCGGCCTCGGTCGTCCGGTCCTGCGCGAGGGCCCGCAGCGCGAGCAGTGAAGTGAAAGCGAGCGAGGGGGTGCTTGCGAGACGCATTGTCGGTCTTGGGCTTCAGTCAAGCGAGAGACGGGGTAAACGAGTGGATGGTGTAAGGAGAGAAGGAGGAAGGCAACGGGTGGGGCTCGCTCGGCTCATTTCTCTTCCTGCTACGCGCCATAGCCAATTCCAAAAAAAGTGTCGCAGCTATTTCGGGCGTAAAGAGGATCCAGATTTAGACGCCGGCTCCATTATTGATCACCATCGCCGGCGCTTGTTCTCCACCCTCACCTCCTCAGTCGCTCCTTTGCTCTCCCTTGTGCGCTTGCATTCAAGGACGCGCTCGACGCGCTCGACTGCCTCCCCGAGGCTGCGCATGGCATTTCCAAAGAATTCCAAATTGAATTTACGTTGCTGCGGACCTTGCCGCTGCGTCGCCCGCTGGATCGAGGCTTCGCTCCTCGGCGAATTCCTCGCCCCACCGCGGGTTGCATGGAAAATTACTAAGGTCCCCGAGTTCCTCGTCTCCGGGCGTGCTCTTCGGCGAATAGCATTCTCCCCGTGTTCTGCGTGGTTCCGATCCAGCCATCTCGTAAATTCCCGAAATACACCGATGATTGCCTATGCCATCTGCTTCAAAATAAATCTCAGTATAAGGATTCTTTCCCTGCCTTCTCTTAGTTCAGCGGCCGAAAAAAGGTGTACCGCAAATGACCCAGCCCGGAGTCGAACCGGCAACTCCTGCTTCACCCACAACTATTTCTGATAGAGGGCAGGTGGGTTTCCTTCCCCCACCAGGTCTACCTACCTCGAACACCTCTACTTGTTTGAAATGTGGAGCACCGGGTGAAAAAAATTACCGCTGACCCTCGATGACATGACCCAGCCCGGAATCGAACCGGGGCCTCCTGCTTAACCTGATCATCACCATTGAACGGATTGCAGGCGTGATGCCTTTCACCACCGGGTCTTCCACCCTTCGGACCTCTATTCATCCTGGACTTTGTTTTGAATTCAAACAATAATGCCTGGGCCAAAAAAGCCATGACCCAGCCCGGAATTGAACCGGGACCTCCCGCCTGCATCTACAAGATCGCACAGTGCCGCACCAATTGCAGGTATGATTCATTTCACCACCAGGTCTTTTTACCTACCCTTCACACCTCTATTCATCCTTGACTTTTCTGCATCAGATACGAAAAAGGATCCTTCGACCATGTCTGACCCGACCCGGAATTGAACCGGGACCTCCTGCTTAACCTAGTTATCGCCGTCGAACGGATTGCAGGCGTGATGCACTTCACCACCAGGCCTGCCTACCTCCCTTTTCGTCCCTTTATTTATTCCAGATTCCTTTTGGAATTTAGCAGACCAATAGGTTAAAAAGATTCCACCGTCCACATATGACCCAGCCCGGAATTGAACCAGGACCTCCTGCTTACAGTCGTGGGTACGATGTAATAGGTAGCAAGTATGATGCCTTTCACCACCGGGTCTTCCTACCTATCCTTTCTACCTCTACTCATCCAGCTATTTTCTCGGTTCAGACAGTGCTAGGGCCAAAAAATCCTACCCATCGAGTTATGACCCGACCCGGATTCGAACCAGGACCCCCCGCTGTACGCTGGAGATTTTATCGAACGGATTGCAGGTATGATGCCTTTCACTACCGGGTCTGCCTACCTACCCTTCGCACCTCTATTTATTCCAGATTCCTTTTGGAATTTAGCAGACCAATAGGTTAAAAAGATTCCAGACATATGACTCAGCCCGGAATTGAACCGGGACCTCCTGCTTAACGTTTTGGGCAAGGTATAATAGGTAGCAAGTATGATGCCTTTTACCACCGGGTCTTCCTACCTACCCCTTGCCCCTCTCCTTATCCTAGACTTTTCTCTGAATTCAAACAGTGCCGGGGCCAAAAAATCCTACCCATCGAGTTATGACCCGACCCGGATTCGAACCAGGATCCCCCCGCTGTACGTTGGAAAATTTACCAGACGGATTGCAGGTGTGATGCCTTTCACCACCGGGTCTTCCTACCCATCCTTCACACCTCTTTATCCTACAATTTTCTCAATTCAGAAGAGTAATTTAAAATAAAATAAAACCACTACAGCCACTTTATGACCCGACCCGGAATCGAACCGGGAACTCCTGCTTCTCGCAAGACTCATTCGTACAGAATGCAAGTGTGATGCATTTAACCACCAGGTCTTCCTACCCATCTGTCACACCTCTTTATCGTACAGTTTTCTGAATTCAGAAGAGCAATAGATTATAAAAAATGTCAGTGCAGCCACCTTATGACCCGACCCGGAATCGAACCGGGAACTCCTGCTTCTCGCAAGGCTCATTCGTACAGAATGCAAGTGTGATGCCTTTTACCACAGGGTCTGACTACCCATCCCTCACACATCTATTGACGAGATTGGTGTTTCCCGCAAGGCGTGGTCGGATCGACGCGCTGTGGCGGACGGACAGTGAGTCCGGCGCAGGTTGCGGGGGCGAATAACCCGAAGCGATACGCACATTGACATCTAGGCGACCTAACACGAGCCGCCCTCTTCAAGGCTATCGCAGCACGCAAGAAATCTGTCCGCGGCCGCCGTTAGGACGAGGCAGGGCTGGCAAGTCCGCTTTGAGTGAGGGGCAATGGTATGCGTGGTGGCGAAAGCATACCAGTCCGTCTGCGGGGCTACTCTCGCCGGCGATGTCCCTGCAGCATTGCAACGAGACCTCCGTGTTTTGTACGCCGTTTGTTTCGCAGATGCAGCGAAAGAAGCCGCTCTGCGCGATGATTGGGGGCGCAGCGGATAGAACGGCGACAAGAGCGAGAGAGAAGAGGGTGATTTGCATGTTGACTTTGCTCAGTTGTGGAATGGCGGGAAGGGAAGGACAACCTCTTTATATCTGGGCAGGAGCCCCAGCGCAAGCACAGGCACTAGCGCAAGCACAGGCACTATTGGGGATGCGGTCAGGCTGCAGGGACCGATGCCTCTTTCTGACATATTGATATTTTCATTCTGTGATGTGTGAACGTTCGAAGAGGAAAGAAAGGCTGTATGTGGCACAAGTTCACGGAGCGGGACTGGCGACGGGACGGAGGCCGTCGATGGGTCGTCGTCGGCGGGTTACCGACGGAGACCGTCGACGGAGTCCTTTGTAGGGTGCTGTTTTAAACTCTGGTTTGTAATGTTTCTGGCGAGATTACCTGTTTTTAATTCGGTCACATGATGTGGTTCAATGATTTTGAACTGCGAGGTTGAGCTCTGGGGGACATATTACCCAGAACAGCTCAGTCCGACTGTACACCTTCCTCAATTCAGACCTAATAATCAATTTGAAAAAAAATTGATGATCTATGTTACCCATCGAACAAGCCTGTTTTCGGCCGTGTCAAAATCATTCAGCCAACATAGGCCTCCCCAGTCAATCCAAGGCATCTGGAATCAGCAAGGAAGCCACGGGGAGCATGGCACAACTCATTGATGGGTTTGACCTCGCGAAATCGATGTTTTTCGCGCGTGTTAGGCCTGGTTTATAAACATGTTTATAAGCTAGGAAGCGCCGACTCCGTCGGCATATACCTTGCTTGCACAAATTCATGACACCGAGGGCCCGAATATTGTTTTCTGCATTTTGTGCACTGGGCTGTCGCCCGCTCCTGCTTGCGCCCCTGTTGCGACTCCCAGCTTCTATTTCTCTTGGGCGTTGCCAGCTCCTGCTTGCGCCCATTGCAAGCTCCAGCTCCTTTTGAAAATCACACATGTATAAATAATGATGTATTTATCTTGGCGTCACCAGCTCCTGCTTGCGCCGATTGGAGGCTTCGACTTCTGGAGAGGACCAATTTGAGGCACAAAATAGTCATCTGGAACTTGTCTGGAACATAATAAAGTAATTTGAATCTGCTCTGCTGGACTCTGCGTTTAGGGCAAGGTGTAAGTTGAGAGTCAGACTCTGTTTAGTCAAGTACTGACAGTTTTGCGGTTGAGGAACGGGATGTAAATATCAAGTAAAAAGTTGACATCCAGGCCAAGTCTAGGCTCTCGGGAGATTCATGATCACCGGGTGCGACGAAAAGTGTGCCAATTATGAGGGTGGAGAGACCTTGACAAGCAAGGTAACTGCCCTGTTTACAAACCAGGTTTATAAACCGGTTTCTAATTCCCCAAGAATTATAAACAGCACCCTAGTCCTTTGTTGCCGCACCATCACAATATACAGGTAACCCCGTTTTGGGGGTGCGCCAGGTTGAATACGAGTGAGATCCATCTCGTTGCCGCGCCTGAGTTTCTAAAATGAATTTGAGCTTTCCCAGCTTGGCTCAACAAGGCAGCTGCAATGCCAGGAACACGATTTCGGATGAGGCATCGGATTCACAAAATTTCAGCAGCATGTCCATGGCCCAAACCTCCGTGAGGCAACACGCGCAAAACCGAGTTGCCCGATTTCTAGAAGCACTGGGCCAGAAAATTGCAACTGATTTTCACTCAGGATGTGGAGATGTGCAGCTGGAAGGTGCAACTAAAAGATATAGAGATTGACCGGAGCTGGACAAGCATTTTGTAGCGGGGTTGCGTGGGTTGGAAGAGGTGTTGAGCGGGGGGCGTGTTGTCTGGATATTGTTACTTGGTGATGTTATCCATAGTTTTATATTGCCTGGTTGAAAATTCGCCGGAAATTTTAAGGACGCGTTCCACGCACAACGGCCTCCCCGCGGCTGCACAGCGGCATTTCCAAAGAATTCCAAATTTAATTTACGTTGCTGCGGACCTTGCCGCTGCGTCGCCCGCTGGATTGAGGCTTCGCTCCTCGGCGAATTCCTCGCCCCACCGCGGGTTGCATGGAAAATTACTAAGGTCCCCGAATTCCTCGTCTCCGGGTGTGCTCTTCGGCGAATAGCATTCTCCCTGTGTTCTGCGTGGTTCCGATCAAGTCATCTCTCGTAAATTCCCGAAATACACCGATGACTGTCTATGCCATCTGCTTCAAAATAAATATCAGTATAAGGATTCTTGCCCTGACTTCCCTTAGTTCAGTGACCGAAAAAAGGTGTACCGGCGCCCTCGAATGACCCAGCCTGGAATCGAACCGGGAAGTCCTGCTTCAATAGGATACAGTGGTACAGAGGGCAAGTGTGATGCCTTTCACCACCAGGTCTTCCTTGTTACCTCCCACACCCCCATTCATCCCGCGTTTTCTGAATTTAACAGAGCAATGGGTTAATAAAAAGAATTAACCTCCCACCAACGGACGACCCGACCCGGATTCGAACCAGGACCTCCTGCTTAACCTCGCTATCATGATGGAATAGATTGCAGGTGGGTTTCCTTCCCCACCAGGTCTTCCTATCTACATCTTGCACCTCCCTTTATCCTAGACTTTTTACTGTCTTTTGCATAATTCCGTGAAAACATGGGGAAAAAATAATAATAATCACGCAGTCACGTGTCCATTGAATCAGGTCTCACCATGCTTCAGCTATGCTTAAGATGTAGAGGGTGAACAACTTGAGTTTGTTCTTTGTCGTGTCAGGACATCAATATGTCCCCTCCAGCCGTCCATCTCAATGTCACGTGTGCCGGCATGTTGATTTGGGACATTGATCGATGTCCGGAGAACATTTCGACCTGTAATCAATGCTTTTTACCTGTGGTAGTTACTGTGGAAACATCCTCGGGAGTTCCTCTTCCAGCACGTGACTGCGCGATTTTTTTTCGCGTTTTCACGGAATTATGCAAAAGACAGTAATAGGAAAAAGACAAAATCATCAAGTGAATGACCCAACACGGAATCGAACCGGGACCTCCCGCCAGTGTTGCCATGACTTGTTGTACTGCATGCGGGTGTGATTCATTTCACCACCAGGTCTTCCTACCTACCCTTCGCACCTCTATTCATCCTAGACTTTTTTTTTTTGAATTCAAACAGTGCCGGGGTCAAAAAAAATAATATACCTCCAACATGACCCGACCCGGAATCGAATCGAGACCTCCCGCCGGTATTGCCAAGACTTCATGCGTACGACATGCGGGTGTGATGCCTTTCACCACCGGGTCTTCCTACCTCCCTTCTCATCCCTCAAGTTATTCCAGACCTTTTTGACTTCAGCAGAGCAGGTGACAGCGCCAGATAAGAAAAAACAGCCACCGACTACCATGACCCAGCCCGGTTTCGAACCGGGACCTCCTGCTTACAGTGCTAGTTTCAGACGGCATATAGATTGCAGGTATGATGCCTTTCACCACCGGGTCTCCTAGCTCCCTCTTCACACCTCTGTTTATTCCAGACTTTTTGAATGACTGAACAGTGCACGAGGTGAAAAATCTAACCACCGACACCTCCATAACATGACCCAGCCCAGAATCGACCCGGGATCTCCTGCTTACATCTGAAGGGTCTCCGAGAATATAGATCACAGGTGTGATGCCTTTCACCACCGGGTCCTCCTGCCTCCTTTCTCACACTTCTATTTATCCGGTTCGTTTTGAATGAATGCAGAGCACCAGGTGAAAAAAATAACCACCGACCCCTCGATGACCCAGCCCGGATTCGAACCGGGACCTCCTGCTTAACCTCGCTATTGTCATTGAACAGATTGCAGGTATGATGCCTTTCACTACCAGGTCTTCCTACCTCCCTTCTCGTCCCTCGTTATCCTACAGTTTTGAATTCAGCAGAGCAACAGGTTTTTTTTTTAAAAAAAAAGCCTCGAAACCCACCTTATGACCCAACCGGAATTGAACCGGGACTTCCTGCTTGAGCTTGCAATCGTTATTGCCGTGAACGGATTGCAGGTGTGATGCCTTTCACCACTGGGTCTTCCTACCTACCTCCCGCACCTCCATTTATACTACTTTTCTGCATCAAATGTTAAAAAGAATTCAGCCTCCAACATATGACCCAGCCCGGAATCGGATCGGGACCTCCCGCTTCCAAGAACTACACCAGATACAAATTGCTGGTATGATGCATTTCACCACCAAGCCCGCATATCTACCTCACACACTTCTACTTATCCAGTTATTTTCTGAATTCAAACACGGCCAAAAAGAAGATTGCGAGCGCCACCTGCATGACCCGACCCGGACTCGAACCGGGAACTCCCTGCTTCTCTCTTTATAAAATTAAGCATGTCTGTCCGAAGCCTTTTAAACTCCGCTTTTGGCTCATCAACCCCAAGACTGTGGAATATCAGCTTTAAACTTCGGAAGAGTTGAAACGTTTCGCGACACGTGACAGTCGCGTCGCGTCGCGTCGTCTGAACACCAATAGTACATTGAGTTGAGCAAAATTCCCGCCTGTCTGAAATAGATGAGGAACGACTTGAAAAATCAAACTCCTCTGTAAAGTTTACAAACAATTGTCTCTGGCTTTAGATATCGAAGATTGCGGAGTAAAATTACTGTACATTTTCGATTCGACCGTTGGTAACGGTGGTCGAATGCAAATTTCGTCGTGCAGGGCCAAAACCTGGTCAAAATCGTGCCCGCCACGCGCAAAATTCCAAATTTCCGCTCCGGTGTACCCCTGGTCGAATTGAACGAAAAAAGTCCGGTAGGCCCTCTTTGGCACTGCTGAACGTGTGTTATGGAATATTGTAGAATTCATTATCTCATTGAATTCTGTGCATATTATTGATTATAATATTCTATTGTTGGCTTGATAGTGAAGACACACTTCTAAACCATTATTCTGAATCCCAGAACTTTACTCAGACTCAAGTTCAAGCTTCTGAACAGCTTAAACTCAAGTACGTTCGCATCCATCAATATTTGATCGGAACTATCCGAGTTTGATTTGAACTCGTGCTCACTGCGAAAACATGTTTCCCACATGTTTTCCACATCAATTAAGTGCTAAGCCCTTATGGTTTAGTGCATGGTCAATCTATGTAGATGCTTCTTTATTTACACAGTACCTGTGAGATGTTCGGAGTATAATTCTGGTCTTACTGGAATATTCTAGAACATTTGCACAACTCTGACTCACATTCCTTAACCATTTCAAGGAACATTCTAGTGCAACACAAGAATGTTCCAATGCTACGTAGAATGTTCTAGCAACCACACTCCTTAGCTATATAATGAGAGCCTGTCCTCATGTGACGGCACCACATCTTTACTTCAATCCACTACGTAGCATCTACAACTACCCCTCGAATAAGCTAGCCTAAGTTGCCTATAGCCGATTTCAACTAACTACCTAGCCCACTGTAGCCTATAGGAAGTTATCGCCTTGTGTTATCCCTTGTTAAGCGCAGAGCCCACTGGGACACAAGGTCACAATTGTAGTTATACTGGTTGACCGATTTAAGTTTGAGTCACTCGCATTGAGAATTTACGAACCCTGCTATCTGCTCTAGTCAGATACGCTCTAACGACTTACGACCTATAAACTCATATTTCCAAAAACATCACTCACGACATCAGTAATCTATTACTGACTTACGCCCGCAAAACGCAAAATCCTAACAACGTGTTTCGGATGGTTTCCGACTGCCAGTGGCCAAGTATCAGAACATTAGCATTTACAAGTAGATGCACACATCAGAAACTCCAGATGTTCGTTGGAGGTAAACCTCGGGACATCAGAAAGGGGAGGACGGACTGCTCCGCCGCTTGTACTTCTATCGTTCCGGCAATCGCATAAGTAACAGGTGTGATGCTTTTCACCGCCGGGTCTTCCTACCTCCCTTCTCATCCCTCTATTTATCCCAGAATCTTTTGAGTGGCCCAGCCCGGATTCGAACCGGGATCTCGTACATAAGTATGTCATAGCGGGTTGATATTACCGAGTCATTTTATGAATCGAGGTCCAAAATTTTGGCTGGATCCCTATATCTCCTCCAAAAATCTTGGGAAAATATGCAATCGAGATTTGCAGATCCTGTGCCAGACACTGCCTGAAATGAGCAATAGGCACGACGTGGAGGCCAGGAAGATAGAGTGAGAAATGCCCATAACTGCGGGGTGTGAAGGGAAGCGTATCAGTGAGACAAGTACTTTTTATTTTATTTTTATTTATTTTAGACTCATTGTTATTTGGCCTCTAGTACGTATACTACGGTAGCCATTCTTCTACACTATGTGATCCCGTTGTAGATAGTGATGCAATGTATTGTAAGGTCTGAGAAATTGTGTCCGGTAGCCCCACATAAGGCCAGAGCGGGCGGGCGGTTCGTAAACGCGGGAGACTATGGGGGTAGGGTGAGTTGGGATATAGGCCACAGGGGCGCGATGATAAGTATGATAGTGGTAAGTAATAAGAAAAGGAAACCTAAGTATAGGGACCATTGGCGAAGACGAGATTGCGTCGACACTGGGCGTGGGCGGGGCGGGCATCGCGGGGCGTCTTGGCGCGGTCGTGAAGCGGCGGTGGGAGGGGCTCAGGCGGCGGGAGTGTCCGGCAGCGGGGAGGGAGGGGGAGACGCGGGGGCGGCATCGAAATGTGCGGCCCGAGCATCCCCAGTCCCTGATGATCTAGCAGCGGTTGTGGTCGCGGCGGCGGGGGGGGTGTAGTCCGGGAGATCGCCGTGGACGGCGTGGAAGCGCCCGGTGCGCGCGATGAAGCGGAACAGGTGAGGGAAGAGCTCCTCCTTCCCCAGTAACTTGTCCAACACACGCGCACTGTCGCCGGAGACTCTCACAAGTTCGCGACGGGCATCCGCATGTGCAGGGCAAACTAGTAGGAAATGAGAAACTGTTTCGTCGGCCTGTCGGCAACACGGGCAGAGCGGGGAATCGGCTTTGGTGATGCGGTGAAGATGTTTCGCTAGTGGAGCATGCCCGGTGCGGAGTTGGAGAAGGAGGACGGCCAGGCCGCGGGGGAGTTTAGCCGTGAGCTTGAGGTATGAGCCTTTGTGTAGGTCGGGGTCGAAGAGAATGGTACGCGCGTAACGCGGGGAGTTCTTCCAACGCTCGAGAACGCGCTGCCCCAGACGCGTTGTAAATTGTTGCTTCTTCGCAGATTTGCTCCAAGGGAGCCGGCCCCGTAGAGACTCTGGGAGATGTTGGGGGAGGGAGTCGTCCCGTTGCACTGCTCGCTTCGCTTCTTGGTCCGCCCGTTCGTTGCCCGGAATGCCCTTGTGCCCTGGTGCCCAGCGCAGTGTCAGCACGACCTCGGGATTGGAGGCCTTAAGGGCCTCCCATCGCCGATGCATCTCATCCCATATCCAGTGCGAGGGAGTGGACAGCGCCGTCTGCGCCGCCCGCACTGCGGCCGTGTTGTCGACGATGATCGTGACACGACCCTTCGCGTCTGGCTGCTGACAAAGCAAGTGAAGGGCGAGGCACCCTCCTATGCCCTCGCCCTCGAACACGGTGTGGCAGACGTCCGATCCGAGACGCAAACGCACAGAGCAGAGCTCGGCGCCGTTGCGAAACAAGACGGCGGACGCACCTATTGCTCCGTCGATGCCGGAGCCGTCTGTGTAAACCTTCCACTCGGCATCATCCGCCTTCTCTTCCTTCAAAGCATCTTCCTTCGAGCTCGGTATACTCACCGCCATACTCGATCTCCATCCCGGGCGCTTTCGCACCGCTTCTATCTTCTCCATGTTCCATGGGCGAAGCTCGAAGTCCCGCATGAGGTCGTGTAACGGCGACGCGTGCGCGGGGTAAGCCTCTCCACGTGTCACTATGTCATGGAGAGGGTGCGACTCGGGTAGCGTGGCGAGCCGCAACGCCGCGCCAAAGCGCATCTTCTCCACCTGGAACTTGACCGGTAGGAGGTGAGCGTAAAGGTCTACGATTTCGGTCGGGGTGGAGCTTAATGCACCCGTGATCGCGAGCCCGGCCCGACGTTGTATCGTCCGAAACTTGCGCAGGGCTCCGAGCTGCTTGGGCTTGGAGCCCGGACGGCTGGGGGGCGGGGACATGAAGACGTCGGCCCCGTAAAACATGCGAGGGAGGCACACTCCTAGGTATAGACGGCGCATTGGCCCGGCTGGGATGCCGCGCGTGGGTCGGGCAAGACGCGCGAACTGCGCGAGCCAGGCGTGACCCTTCCTGATGGCGGCCGCAAGCTGCGGCTGCCAGCGAAGCGCCTTGTCGAGGTGAAGCCCAAGGAGCTTCACCGATGCACTGGGCTTGACGGCGTAGCCATCAATTATGAGGGGCTCACCCTCGTCGAGTTTTCTCTTGCCCGGGTTGTTTGGGTCGTCAACCAGGGTGCGGGTTGCGTCGAGTAGCTGGTACTTGGGTAGACCGAAGCGCACGCGCCTCGGTTCCGCCCAATCATCAACACCGCCGGGGCACGTTATCATCCGCGAGATCTTCCGATGAGTCTCCTTGAATGTCCAGCCCGTTGCCACGAGCGTGTTGTCATCCACGAAGATGACCCCCGCTTCGCCGTTTCTGGCTCGCGGGACTCCTGCTAGGTCGGCGTTATAGATGAGGAAGCCGAACCCAGAAAATGGGTCTCCTTGGTCGAGGCCATTCTCGACGGGAAAGGGCTCCGACACGTAGTCAGCGAAAGCAATGCGGCTTGTGCGTTCCACGTAGCGACGTTGCAATCCGTCCGTCGTCTCGACGGGCACCCCCCTCATCCGCATGTCGTGAAGAAGGTGCTGGATGTCAACACACGGAAACGCCCCCTTGACATCCATGCAGAGGACGCTAGCGACTTTGCCCTCACGCCACGCATCTTTTATGACTGATACTACCTTGTGCACCGCATCCGTCGTGGAGCACCCCGGACGTGCGCCGTATTGCTCGGGTGGCAGGATCCCCGCCACCTCGGCCTCCCTCGACGTCTGTACCATGTGGCACGCATTGAGAAGACGCGCAAAGCCTCTTGCAAGGACTATGGGCCGCAGCGAG